TTGTGCAATTTTTGCTATTGAAAATTTTCGTCAAATTAAAATAAACTAGTTATAAGTAGTTTAAAGTAACGCAAATGCAAAAATCAAAGGACCATATTCGAGAAAATTCGAATCACTAGCTCGATACCAACACTAGCCCGCGTGCCCGACAAAAAAATCGTCTTGTTCAACAAACAAACAATAACTCAATGATATAACAAGAAACTGCAAAGCCTACGTCGATGACTCAACGTGAAACAACAGCCTACCTGAGCTTTTGAGGTTGCACGAAGCTAGACTGCGGTAACACGACCAAATCGTGAACGCTATTCATTCATGCCTTCGCAGCGTCACCAACAAAAGCGCGTACCGCGATCCTATGCGAAGGAATTCTTCATACAGTTCGATGCACTCTACAGGCTGTTATTGTTATATGCTTTTGTATGAGATGTGAGAATTATTTTCTCGCTAGCGTATTTTTTTATTTTATTGCTTTGATGGGTGGACGAGCTCACAGCCCACCTGATGTTAAGTGGTTACTGGAGCCCATAGACATCTACCTTGTAAATACGCCACTCACCTTGAGATATAAGTTATAAGGTTTAAGCATATTTACAACGCTTGCCCTACCTTTAAAACCGAAACGCATTACTGCTTCACGGCAGACATAGGCAGGGCGGTGGTACCTACCCGCGCGGACTCACAACAGGTCCTACCACCAGTAAAATTTGAATTCCAATGCGCATGAGACGGTCACCAAAGACCCTATTGGTACATCTTAAATGACAAGCTGAGGTATCAACCGAAGTCTCTGATAACGGCTGTCCCTTTTCAGGCTATCACGAAGGGTAGTTCCGCGGCAGAAGTTGATAGGACAATGACAGACACGCTCGCTCGCTGCCACTAGATTTGATTCGAAAACATTATGGCAACTATTCAATATGATCACTGGCATAATAAAATGGAAAAAATTTCGTGTTTCAAGATTGGCTCTCACTCGTGGTATCCAGATGCAGCGTAATACTCATTCCCGTATTTAGGAAGAAATACACATTTGTCTATTGACAGCACTGAAATTGGCAGTTAAAAAACGAAACCTGGTGAGTCTTTTTAAGAACCTTATTCCGCTATTTCTATACATATTTCATTTTGATTATGTCTAGTTCGTTTATTTGTCATTAGTTGTATTTATAGCAAAATCACAAAACAATCAATAAGCTCAATTATTATATTATTAAATATTTCATTACCTTTAAGAATAAGTACATACGTACAGTCCATTTGTGGGAATGTGATCAGAAAATTCGAAGAATTCGAAAACATTTGGTAAAAGTTTAAAAAAAAACTTTGGGCGCCATGTTTTTTTTGTTCTTTTTTTAAATCGGTAACCGAGTACATCTCTACAAAATTAATCCCAAAATAATCTTTAAAGTACCGTACAATGGGGTAAATAGGGACAAAATCGACCTTCAGATTGAATTTTAAAATAGTTCCAATTAAATAGTCATTGCTCAACCAAAGAAATAAGTTGAGTCTTGAACGCACCTAGGTGATAAAAACCGTTACATTATTTTAATTATTCATTTTAAAGAAATAATCGGTAAAATAATGGCCGTCCCAATTTACCCAGCGTCCGGGGTAAATTGACACGGTTAAGGGTTAAATTGGGATATTTGTAAGGGTTGTCAACTCGCAGTACTGCGATATATAGGTAGGTGCCATATAATTATTTATATGGACCGAAATGATGAATACAATCCATAATTTAAGCACAATACACAACATAGTGTAAATTAAGCTGGTTTCTATTCCGAAGCGATGTGACGTGAATGATAATCAACAATACAATGATCAAAAAAAGTATGTGCATGTTATATTTTAGAAAATTATTATTTAATTTCCTTAAAAATCACAACTCTGAAACAAAATGATAAAATAGAATAAAAAATAGAAAACAAAAGGACTGGAAATGCAATAATACAATTTTATTTAATCAACATTTTCAAAATAATCTTTGAGCAAGAGTAAGATATCAGGTGAATAAGATAAAAAAACAGCTTTATCTGATTACTGCCAATAATAACAAAAATAAAAGAAATTCTTTCTAAGCGAAATAACTAAACTCAATTAATTCACTCACTCATAATTGGATATCTCGGATTTTTAATTAATGTTACATTTAAAATCTGAGGCCTGTTTTTATTTGTGTGTGTTCGTTGTGAATGTTAACAAAATCATGATTCGATGCGTGAATAGATTCTGAAATAACAAAAGTTTTGATTCGTTTGAGTTCTTTTAACTTTTAATTTTTTTTATTGCTTTATAGAACATACGACCGGGCAAGGTAAATGTCGCGAAAAAAAAGTAATTATATATATACTTTTCTTTTACCTATAATACTTACATAAACTAACTGATAAACACATTAACCTTCTTTACATCATGTAATTAAGTGATAGTATAGGCTAAAAAATCTATTATAAGATATCAGTGACAACCCTAACAAGCCATCCCTATTTTGTCTTTTGGCGTTCCAATTTTGTGTTTTCTCGTCCCTAATTTTTCCAGTCTCGTTCCAAATTACCTTACATACGTCCCAATTTTCCCCAAAAAGAAAGGAAAAAATATACATTTTTTATTTTGTCGAAATATTGTATTTAAAATAAGAATATTGCAACTTACTGTTTGTTGTGGTATTTCCAGGTGTATTAAAAACTTATATAAACTGTGATCTTATTGAAAAAACAACGATAACATCACTTTTTTTAAAAGTTCTTTAAGCTGTTTTAAAACGCACTTTTCAACCACTATTTTAAATTTAATTTGACGAATTTTTGGGACCAACTTAACTCATGTTTAGTACTTCCATATTTAACTTGGTTTTTCTTCTATACATTGATAAATATTACCTTAAAGAAAATTAGGTAGATTCCGTGCTACAAGTACTTTGAGAATCTTCCGCAGGTTTGTCCCAATTTACCCCAGGATCCCAATTTACCCCATGTCATGGTACCACGTTTTTTTTTTTTCGTTCTCCATTCACCACAGATAGCATGAAGTAAACACAGTCCGCAAATAGATCGAATAAAACAACGACAATCAACAAAATCATTTCCGCGTCTAAAACTATTGAAAGTTCAGTTTCCGTCCGTCCTTGCATTATTTTAACTCAAACGCTATTTAAATGGCGTGCTTACCACAGCACAATTTTAGCTAAGCCCATTTTTATAAAACTTTGACGCTCATCTAGTCTTATGTGATTCTTTGAGCTAATCAAAATCAAACCCGCAAAATTATAATTTGCGTAATTACTGGTGGTAGAACCTCTTGTGAGTCCGCACAGGTAGGTACCACCACCCTTTTTTTTGTTTTTTTTAAACGCTGGGGAATCCATTTACGGATACCCGGTCGAGAGGGGTAATAGACCGGGTTATGTCGGACTCCGGCGCCTCCAGAGAAGAAGAGGGAGAGGAGGAAGACCCAAGTCCTCCTCCTCTTCCAATTCCTACCGGGAGACTACGCCTTGAGAAAGGCGCGCGAGGCGCTGCCCGGCGTCTACCACACAGGACCCGCCCCGCAAAACCGACTACCGACTAAACCCCATCGAGCTCCACCACTCCGACTCCACGAAACCTACGGTACCGCACAATGCGCGCCGCAGGCTCGCCGTCGCCGGTACCCGTCCTGACAATAGGACGGGATCCAATCCCCGGGAAGATCCCGCAGGACGTCGTCTCGGGAGACACCGTGAGTGGCGCATAGGAGCCACCTTGCGCCGCCTCACCACGGAACCGACAGCAGAGCACCGGGCGCCCCCGCACCCAGTACCCAACAGTCCCTACGGGAGATTAACGGGAGCATCGTGCCCGCGTCGCCCACCCCGCCTTCTTCGCTGAGGAGCCGAAGAGGGATTCCACTCCCTTTCGCGCTCCTCAGCCTCGCGGAACGCCATGACCAGGTCGCAAAATCTGGCCATGGCCTCCCACGAACTCTCGTCCTCTAGCATGCGGGCAATGACAGCCCGCAAGGAGAGGTCCCTCCCCAGCACCGCGATGAGATCTCGCCGCGGGTGCTCCCAACGCGGGCACGCTTCGAGTGCGTGCTGAGCGTCATCATCCGGATGCCCGCACTGGTGACAACCCGGATGTGGCTCTCTCCTGCAAACCCTCCACAGGTACCTCACCTGCCTATTTCTGCCGTGAAACAGTAATGCGTTTCGGTTTTAAAGGTGGGGCAAGCGTTGTAAATATGCTTAAACCTTATAACTTATATCTCAAGGTGAGTGGCGCATTTACAAGGTAGATGTCTATGGGCTCCAGTAACCATTTAACACCAGGTGGGCTGTGAGCTCATCCACCCATCTAAGTAATAAAAAAAAACTAAGAGAAATTGTCAAATTATTGTCGCGACTCGCTGTAAAATAGGTAAAAAAAATTAGGAACATTCACTGCATGGAGCTATTTTATTGGCTGTTCTGCACCTCAAGTCGATACTTACGATTATTTTGCACCAAAAATGCTCATTTAACGATGATATTACTTATTTATTTATTACACTTCATGGATGGACTCTGGTAATCAACCAAAGTCAGTTCACTAATGGTAGGTGCACAAATTAAACACACAAACACAGATATACATATACAAAAAAATAAATGAATTAAGATAGGGTTGGTAGTAGAAACCAAAAAAATTATATTATGTATTATATTTTAGTGGGCATGTAGTATTAATTAATCCAGCCGTATTCACTGATTTATGATGCTATATAATAGACGATACATTGAATTGTTTTTTTTTTTTAAATAAATCCAAAAAATACTCAAGTCTCGCAACGATAAGATACCTAAATTAAATGTCCGATTTTATTTCATCAAAGTTCACGAACTAAGAAACTGAGCGTGTTAAATTAACAGGTGGTTTATAAACAAGAAAGGAACACGAACAGGAAAAGGAAAGGAAGCAGGGGTGCTCACAACTCGGCCGGTTAACAGGTGTCGCGGTGGTCGAGCGCCCGCCACCGACAATGCCGACCCATTCGCGCGCGCACCTCCGCCGAAGCCGCTTGACCGAACGAATCGGGATCCCGTTGCATTAAAAAAAAAAGTGCCAGTGAGACTGTACTTGTAGTGCCAGTGTTTGTTCTGTGACAGTTCTATGACAGGTACATATATATGTTCATTTTATTTCATTTAATTACATGTGATTACTACACGCTTCATCCGACGCGCGTGCCGTTTCAAAGTATTGAAAAGACTTCAACGAACACGCAGACTTTGAAATACACGTTGTGTCTGGTTTTACGTAATTTTATTTTAATTACTAATTAAAGTATACAAATATTCTTAGTATACATTACGTGTTTTAATTACGATTTCTTAATAATTGCAATTTTTTACGTCCATTAAAACGTTTAGGATTATTGATTTCGTCACCGACTGTTATTCAATGGCGAACACAAATATAATTCTTCTTACGATTTCAAAGTTTTACCTGAAGTTATATTTAGGTTATGTGGCGTCCCTTGTTCTTTTTTTAAGACGCTCTTTTTTCATTTTAAAATTATGGCCGTATAATTTTGTGTTTACACATCCGTTTTTATACGTTAAGGATTAAAAATAAACTTCGCCTTGCATTATTCAAATGTATACAGCTTGTTCTCTTGAATCTTGATACTTTAAATGCTAAGGACGTTGGTTCAGAAGTCAGCATCGACAATAATTAATGACGGCTCAAGTTATTCTTGTTCAATAAATGTAATCTCAAAGGTTAAGAAGATTTTTCATTGTGTTACATGGAACTTAAAATGAAATAATATAAAAAAACCATTTGACACGCTTTGTTTTCATTCATCGTTTCAATTCAATCATTGTAATTCTTTCGATGAGAATAGGAGGTTGAAAGTGAATTTGCATGAGGCTATCAAAATTTAGATTATTCAAGAAGGTCACTTCTAATGTCCCTATTATTTAATGATTGAGATAGTTTTAGGTTACGCAACAACTTGTTGTAACCGTTAGTCAGATTTAAACCAACAATGCAAACTACATTCATCGTAAATATAAATAAAAAACCAACGCTTATTTCTCAAATTAATCTGTTTCAACAAATTGGTATTTTCGTTGATCTGCTAAATCTTGCATCAAAACTTAAATGTCATTTCAATTTATTGACAAATGGACAAAAACTATATGAATAACATACTTTTTGTGCGTCATTCGATTGATTTATGCAATTTTAATTTTCAATTAAATCTGTATCTTCATCGGAGTGAATTTATCAGACATCTGCTGCATACCAATCTTAAGTTTCGATTTTGTAGGTTAAGGATACCCATGCAATTCAAATTTCGACCTCAAATCACAACGTCGACAGTGAAGACATTATAAATATGTCTCAAAATACGTTTCATGGACTTATATATATTTTTCACACTGTTATGACAATGTAGAGTATCTTAAAATTTTCATACCTAAACTTTTAACTAATTCAATTTCGAAATAACTAAAAAAATAGCTCTCTGTGCTTCTTCTTCTTTGTCGTTTCCTCATTACTGAGGGTCGTGACCACCTTGGTCCAGTTTTTGCACCAGCTTCCTCCAATGTTGCCTGCATTCGGCCTGCTTAATGGCGCCCGGGACGCTGGTGTTTGTGGCCTCCTTGATAACGTCCGTCCACCTGGTTGGCAATCTTCCTCGACTTCTCTTTCCTTCCACCTGACCTACAACTATAAATTTTTCCAAGTTCTCAGGATTTTGTCGGGCCACGTGTCCGAAGTACTTGAGGATACAGATTGTAGATAGACGGGTCTTGACGTTTAGCTCCTCGAGAATTGACACATTTGTTCGGCGCTCCGACCATGATACGCCCAACATTTTGCGCCAACACCACATTTCAAATGCCCCTAGCGGCAAACGAAGAGAAGCTGTTCCGACTCCATACAAATTTAAGTTAACTTTTACGCGATCGAGAAGTTAAAAAACTCGCACTAAGCACACTGATGTCAAGAATCTTAATGCCTTTCGTGTTACGAACTCGACGCGACGTGGCGCGCGGTACTCACTCGCGTGAGTGCTAGCAATAGGGGACCTGTTGCCAATCTATTTGACACTGTTATTATCAATAAATCGCACGAATAACGAAGCGTTTTTGAAACTGTTCAAAAATTGACCACTTACGACATCTTCATAAAAAAAAATATTATCGCATCTTGCATAAAATTATGTTAATGTTATTTTTCATTTACTTTTTTTTTTAATTTTATAATAATTTTTTCAAGAAAGGTTCTAAATCAACAGTGGCCGTACTTAATAGATTTTCATAACTTTTCAGAACACGTTTCAGTCGTTGAATTATTTAAATATTATTTAATATTGTTACCAAACAACTTCTTTGCTGATTCCTTACTTTACGTATCAACACTTACACCGATTGTGTAAATACACACAGTATTTACACAATCAACTCTTTATCACGGGAAAATGCAATGGATCTGATTTTTTTTTAATTACAGATTTAACGCAGATGAAAACTCTGGGCACTATTTATTATTTAGTGCTTATTATATTAAAAGTCAATGTACAATAATATAGTATTACATAACATAGTATTTAAAAATATAGCATCAGTATAGCATTAAATTTTAAATAAACAAGTTTGGTTACGGAACTTAATCTTTAGTAATTATTTATAAAATAAAATCAAAGTATAGTAGACGATGAATAATAAGAAATTATTTTAAAAAGACAGCTATTCATGTCTATAAATAAATATGTAGACAGAAAATGGTTAAGTTATGTCGTCGTTGCCAGCGCTGAATTCTCCCCTATTTCGCTCACGCAGAAGCTAGTCACCGTTGACGCTCTGGACATGTCCTTACGCATTCTTCCAAGCTAATGGACCTTGTTAACCGTACTCGTCGAACTCAGCAAAGAGTTCAACGAGGTCTTCGGAGACGCTCGGGCCGTTTTTTTTTTATTGCCCTTGTAGGCAGAAGAGCATACGGCCCACCTGATGGTGAGTGGTTACCGTCGCCCATGGACTTCAGCAATTCCAGGGGCAGAGCCAAGCCGCTGCCTATAAATCAAAAATACAATTGTTAGCAAATCCCACCCCTCCTGGGTGAGCCCGTGCTCGTCCACCTGTCCTGGTATAACTAGAGGCCTCTACGCCAATAGAAATTCTTACTTCGTAAAAAAAACAGTATTGATGAGCTATTGCCGAGCGCTGTCAATATTGTTTAACACTTATTATTAGCTTGATATGTACCTATGAAACTGAATAGATGATAGTCATTTTCACCGGCTTCAAGACGCTCTATTAACGTAAAAATAATTTCGCCCTAATGTACTGACCAACTTCGAATAGGCCGGTAAACAAAAAAAAAAGGGTGCGTGTACTTATTATGTACGCGCGTAAGAAGTTATAATTTATTTTTATTAAATTTATTTCTTTTTTCCTTAAAAAGGGTGCGTGTACTTATTATGTACGCGCGTAAGAAGTTATAATTTATTTTTATTAAATTTATTTCTTTTTTCCTTATTTAAATTTTAATCAATTTGAAAAAAAATCGATTAAACAACATCCTCAAACACGCATATTGGACATCCCTTTTCTTGACATCGTATAAATTCGGTAATTCTCGGTACGGTTCGGAAAGTTCACCTGCGGCTATATTCAGACTCGCCAAGTTACGTCGGTCGTATTGTAATGAGCGGTTTAGTGGGCAACTTCACTCTGTGAATTTTGTGTCACGGTGCACGCGCATCGTAAAATTTCAGTCTCATCAATTTTTTCGTAACGCGCCTAAAGAAGTATTACTCCAAAAGGAATAAGCCTGTTTTTTGTTTAATTTTTCTAAAATTATACGACTACTTAGGCGAACGCTCGTTGAAATAAATACACAATTTTAGTGCGACATCAAACACTCCGGTGTACCTTAATTTTGTACTAAGTAAACGTACTTCACGGTGGGTGACGAGGTTGAGCCATGACATTGGTATCAGCGGCCATCAGTTACGTAAAATTGAGGTCTCTATTAAATTGCGTAGGGCGTGTAAAGTGTCCGCTGTGTTTCTCGCCGAATCTTCTCAGTGAGTCGGGTTTCCAATCCGGTGGTAGATGCTGCGAAACACTGCTCTTGCTAGAGTTAGTGTTAGCAATACTCCCCGTGAGCTCACCTGTTGCTCACCTACACGTCAAGGAGAAGCTGAAATAGCCTCTCAAGGCTATCAGCATAGGTAGGGAAAAAAAGGACCGATATGAATGAATTTTTTTATATGCGTTTGGGTGGCGCCCTGGATGGTTTAGATTCACAAATCAGCCCGGCAGATGGCGCTGCAGTCGGTATCTAGGCTATTTATCTATACTGCACGTAAGTGACAGGAACGATTTAAATGATTTTTGTGTATACATTCATTCATTCATTTCATTCATTTATTGTATGCAGGACAACGTTGTTAGAACCGCTAGTATATCTAATAACATTCAAACTACATTAAAATGTTAGAGTTCAAATTGATTTATTTTAACAAAAATCAAACGAATAACCTTGAATTAATTTGAAAGAAAAAATCGAAACTGGATTTAATTCGAACCAGAGTTTGTCACATCTAGTTTTAGCGTTTTTATTATTGTGATTTACAAATAAATGTAATCGTGTTTTACAGGTTTTATTTTTATTACTTAGATGGGTGGACGAGCTCAAAGCCCACCCGGTGTTAAGTGGTTACTGGAGCCCATAGACATCTACAATATAAATGTAGTACACACCTTGAGATATAAGTTCTAAGTTCTCAGTATAGTTACAACGGCTGCCCCGCCCTTCAAACCGAAACGCATTACTGCTTCACGGCAGAAATAGGCGAGGTGGTGGTACCTACCCGTGCGGACTCACAAGAGTCTCTCATCTCCTACCACCAGTTAAAAGGGTCAACAGTTTTTTTTTTTTTAATTATTGTCTTTGCTTAGTATACGTATTATAGTCGTGGAGCAATAGCTTGATAGTATCTCGCACGCGCCTCTATTTCATCCGCTTTACCTGGAACCAATGCATCTACGACGCGTTTCCACAAATCATTTTTGTCACGTACTGACTCTAGAATGAGCTCCCCTACCATTTCCTGAGTGCTTTAAGATGTCCCTTTTCTAACAATATTCGACGATG